CCCATCTGAAGGAGACATGGCAGCGGTCTTAGGTTAGACAGGTGCCATTTATTCTGCGTGGAAGTAACCCGTAGCCTTTCTCGTTTTCAAGGACGTCTTCTCGCGTGAAATCTTCATTTGAAAGGCATTCTGCTTCCTTTAAACACTTTTTGGAATAGGGTTCAGGGGAAAAACAATCCACTCCGCAAGGCAGGATAAGTTCGATCCCGCTCGAATCCAAAAAAGTGCACTCTTTTACATGTGATGGGTCGTCGTATTACCATAGTGCCACTTTTGCAGAAGAAATTTTTTAGGACTCTCTTCAGCATTGAGCGCTGCAAGCTGCCAGCGGCCACTGTGTGCCAGATAATGTACAAAGAAGGTATCGAATTGAAAAAACTGACATGAAACCAACAAGTTCAGAAAAGTCGTCTAATTGGAGGGGTATTGTCGAGAGTTTTCGGTTGCTTCTCATGTAGCTCTCCCTACTATACCCACTACCAACGACTTGCAACCACGAACGTCGTCTCAAAAGGCACGGTCCGCGAAAAGGAGCGTAGGTGTTGGTGGTCGTCCGCGAGGGAAAAATACCAAAGGTAACGTTCGAACAGCTTCAATATGACTCCTTCAGCCTCAAACAATTGCACGGGTGAAATGCCAAAAAACCGCTTGTTGGGGCGACTCCACTTTGCTGACTCCTTGTTGTGAACCCCATGACTTTTTAAGAGACGATAAAGCATCAATTTCATGCTACTTGTCCGGTAATTGCTTCTATTTTTGTTGGAACGCGGGCTTCGAAGGTGGGCATGGAGCCGGAGTCACTCGAAAAAATGGAGGTACGACTGGAGCAAATTCGCGGCGTAGCTCCTACACTTTACAACTTTCGGTCGTGAAGCTAGCGCAGGGTTATTCACTGCGGATAACACGACACTCCCATGACAGTCTTCTGCATTTTCATGGGTCATCGCGGACCGTTTCTTCTCAACAGGTGGTGCTAGCCAAGAGGAGGTACCCCCAATAATCTCGCTTCAATAATTTAAGCTAATATCTGAGGTCTCTCGGAGGTAATGTTGCCATCCGGGCAGTTGATTATTCGGCCCAAATGACGCAGCGCGTCACGATCGCTGCGATCAGCTGTTTCCACCCTTATTTAGCAATTTTCTCCCTAGTTTTCACTGTTTTTGGCTGTTTTTTTGCAAGGCAATTCGCTTTATTGCCTATAACGTAAAGCATATCACGACGTGAATCCTTCTTTTTTGTTCTTGTAATGGATGTTTTTCGCGATTTTCTTAGGTGTTTGTTTAATTGTTTGTTTAATCGTCTAATTGTTCGCAAAAGTTAAAAAAACTCAATCATAATTTATCTTGTGAAGACAAGGAACAGTTAACCTTGAAAAAACAGCCAAAAACAGTGAAAAGTAGGAAAAAATGACTAAACCAGGCCGGAAACGGCTGATCGCCGCACACAGTTCCTACGTACGCGGTCGCTGCTGCAGCCGCGTCTGCGGCCCCTTGACGACCGCCCTAATCAACTGCCTGGATGACGAGTGTATGAGGCAGTTCATCAGCGCTCATTGGCGCAAATCTGAAAAAAATATTAGTTTGTTCCGATTTGCTATTTTGTACCAGAACCGTCTGGTGGTGCTTCTCAAAGCGATTAGTCACCGATACGTATTTCGAAATCTTCCCATGGGAGCAACAGGTAAACCGTTGACTTCATGGATTTCAGCAGTATTTTACTAAAGCCGCATACCTCCCACAACTTTGTAGAGAAGATGTGCACCCTCGGTCTTATCCGCATCAGTGGCTTCGACTTTTACAATGGTACTGCCAGGTGTCGAGCTCTCAGAAAGCGACACTTCGTACGTTTTACGCTCGAATCGTGGTGGAAACTCATTCACATCTTTGACCTTCAGCTGTACCTTGGTGGATGCTTGAGCTTCTCCCACACTTGCTGTCACCTGAAAAGGATCACTGGACACCAATGAAGTTTTAGTTCAAATTTTTCAGTGGGAAAAAATTGATAGAGAAGACATTCAAATAGACAATAAACTTGCTCAGAACAAACGGATAACAGTACATGAGGCTTTGTTCAGACTTCGCGATGACGCGCGTCGCGCGCTGATGTTACTACTACGCTTCAGCGCAATAGACGAAAACGCAAATATAGGAGGGTGTCAATATGCGTCAAGCGCTAGTGTTTCGGGAGAGTATAGGAGAGTAGGAGTGATCAGACAGTGTGATTCAGCGCCAAAAATAGCGCGTCATGACAAAGTCTGAATGCAGCCTTACGGGACGTCTCCGGATTATTGAAGAGACTATCGTAATCTTTAAATCTTTACTTGCAACAGACTCACGCTCAAGTGTGGCAGCGGATTTTTTCTTCAAAGACATACTGTACACTCACCTTAGAGGACGGTCCCCGCCATATGCCAGGTGAGTGGGTCCGCAGCTAAAGTAGCGTGCCACCTTTTCTGATCCGAAGTGCACGGGACCAGCCACGTGCGCGACCAGCCACACGCCTAACCATATCCAAACGCACTGCTTGTCTGTGCTCTCTCACTCCTGGTTGTTCTCTCCTGAGTGCGTGTTAAGCTACGGAATCTCGATGTTGACGTCAGCGCTGCACCTTGGGGATAGCGCGGGCGCAGCTTGAGTAATAGTTACAGTCCTCATCATTGCGGACCGGTAGGCGCTGGCAGGCAGTGCGGCTTGGTTTGGTGCGGTTTGGCAAAGACGTTCTGCACCAGTTTTTGAAGCGGGCAAGTGCATTACTGTATAATATCCTTCGTATTACTCGTTTTCTACCACTTTTTGTCGCATACGCGTTGCAACAAAAAGGCTGAGAACGGCTTCAACAGTGTGCGCACTCCTTCTGGCTGACACGCCCCACCGGTCCGCAATGATGAGGACTGTACTTCAGAGCCCATGCCGTGCACTTTTGCCCGGAGAAAATAGGGTGTCACTACTACTGCGTACCCATTAACCTCGCAATTGGCAGAACTGGGATCCACTGAGCTGAGGGCACTGTTTGTCTTCAAATATATGTTCAATCCAAATGCACACAAGAGAAAACAGCTCACTGCACTTATAACGTATTAATGTCCATTTTTGAAAGACAACAAGAGCTTACCACGAAGTAAAGGCTATCGGCTTGATCTACTGGAAGCTGTTCCAAGTCGACGGGCGCATTCACAACAAGCGTGCCGTTTGGAAGTATACTTAGCGGAGTGTCAGGGTTGATCGAGTACGTTACCAAGGATGACTTCGGGAAAACCTGCAAGAAACGTAATGAGTGATTCAATTAATGGCCTCGAGAAAAAAAGTCCTTGAAATCATATTTCTCGATAATTGGATGGACAGGAAAATGGGCAGAAACCCCATGAACCATCGTGTAAACCCACCTAGTGCCCTCTCTTCCTAGACCATGGAGGAAGGGCGTATCAACGAGCCCACTAACAATTGTTATGAGTTCCCGCCCATTCAGTTATTGCAGAATAAGACTTGAGAGTTGCAGTCTGGAGTGCACCAGAAGGTTGGCTCTTCTGATGACACGTTGCGAATAGCGATCAGGGAACGGCAGGATGTGGTGCGAAGCAAGATTTGACTTGTTGTTAGAAACAAGGAAAGTTGCGCAAAGTTGAGGAAGTACGAGGGATGGGCTAAGGGTTGCGTCAGAAATGGCTCGAGAAAGATCGCATATGGTGGCCAGCCAAACTCTTCTCACGCCAGTGCTGCGTCGCTCCCGCTCTCACTAGCGCGGGATGTTACGATTTTCTTGTCCCATAGCTGAGAAAGAAGTGGTGCTTTCTGATCCCATAGCGCAGGTATCCCTGAAGCAAGCCTTTCTTTAACCCAATCTCAACATTGGGTTAGTCGGTGAGGCGGATGAAGACAGATTAGCCCTTCTGAGCCACCGTACAAGTAAAACACGAATCAGAAGTACTGGCAATCAAAACAAATTCTATATAGTCTAATTCGAAGGGGCGTGTCAGGCGGGAGAATTTGGCGCGGCTCCAAACCCGTTCTCCACCATTTATTGAGGCGAGCAAGTGGCGAGACTGTATCATATCGTTTGCATCACTCGTTTCCCACCGCTTCAGCAGCTGGCAGAGAACTGATTTAGCGCTGCGGCACACTCGAAGTGCTGACACGCCTCTTCTTCCCCAACGAACTAGAGTATACGTAGCGCAGACCGTTGGCTTTGATTTTCCCAAGCACTTCACTTCCACAGCTCTATATGATGCTTACGTGTAGATCCATTATTAATGGAAGGAGGAGAACCTACATAATTGGAAAACAGTGCCGTTGGAATTAGCTGCAAGGCTCACCTCAATTGGAGGGAAGATTGTCGTTCCGATAGGCACATTCTCATTAATCTGCAGTCGATATATGGACTGTGGGAAATGGACTGTTCTGCTGGATACCAGACTGATCGCAACCTGAATGCGTAGGATAACTCCATATATAGAGTGGAAACTCTCAGAAAGAGATCAGTACCCCAACATCTGAGTAGAAATCAGGGTAGTCGAGATTCACGGCTCGAACAACAATAAACTGAGTCTCGTGATTGGACGGTGTCCGCGCGTAGGCAGCAGTTGCGCTCAGCTCTCCCTGAAATTCTGGTACTCATCGACTCTCATGAGGACTGTGAGGTTAATAACATGATAGCAATATGAAGGCAACCAACAAAATGATCTTTCATTCAGAAGTATCAAAGAGTGAAATATGGCGCCGTTCGGCCTGGTGGGGGCACCAAATAGTATTCAACAAAGCTCACAGTTGATAACAGTGTGTGTAACCACTTTGTGGAGACCTGTAAACTTCAGTGACTAAAGTGACCCACTTGAACTAGTCACCAGAGTATACAGGCCTCACCAAAATTAGACATCGCAGGTGAAGTAGCGAAAGAAACTAGCGAAAGTGTACAACTCCCCTACCCCTTCCAAGCCGAACAGCGATTCAAGTCACTGAAAGTACTGATAGTGTTTCAGACCTAAATGAGCACTCGGCTGGCATTAACCCCCTTTCAATCTCTCATGGGCGCGTCTATAGTAGCATAATTAATCCACAACTAACCGTGTTCGGCCTTTATGTTTGTGTTTGTTTGTGTTTGTTTGTTTGTGTTTTGTTTTGATTTTGTTCTATTTTCAATTCTTCACTGTGTGTTGCGTATTTAGATTTTTTTCCCTGGGCTATGGCACACCTCGGGTGTATTCAAATAAATAAATAAATAAATAAATAAATAAATAAATAAATAATCCACAACTAACCGTGTTCGTATCGATGTGCAGTCCTTCGGGAGCGGTGCCATCTGGGAAGAACCGATAACGAAGTGTTCCGTTAAGAAGGCGAGCATCGAAGCGATGTAAAATCACTGGGAACTGGGAATCGATTGGAATCTGCAACGAGATATTAATGTTATTGATAGACAGTGAATACGACGTCGAACTTGGTTTCCGTTATGGTATGCCGCTTGAGTTTTTCTCCATAGCCATGGCCAATTTCTAGACAGTAGATACCCCATGTTAGCCTTCAAGTGATCGCTTTCCATATTAATGAAGGGTTCCTATACTGACCTTGTTGCGAGTGTAGGGGCGTGTCAGGGCGTTAGGTCCAGCGCGGAGCCAACCCCTTCTTCATCAAGTATTGAAGCAAGCAAGCGGCATTAGCATGGTGAGAAACGGGGTGCACTGCCCAAATCACCTTCCCCCCTATAACACGCTTCAGCACCCCTATGTGTGTTCTGGAGTCCATGACTGCGGAAGTCGCATTTTATTCGCTAAGAGGTGGGGGAGCTTCGATGTAATGTGGAGCCCGCTTCTGATCAGTGCAGTAGTAAGGTTTCGAGAGGATATGTGGGGCAGTCAAGCACTCCGAGAGACATTGCTTTTTGCACACCGTTGTCGAGCAAGTCATCCCTACTAGGTCGCAAGGCGATGAACTCATGCGACGCATCAGTTTACAACTGCAATGCGATGCAAGACCTTCTATCACTAGATTACGCTGCTAGCAGTGTACGTCTTCATTGGAAGAATCTCATGGGAACCGTATTCTACCGCTGGGAAGGAAGGACGTGCTCGGCATTGAGAGGTTTTTTCGAATATTGATATCTTCCATTGCAGGTGCGTAGTTAGAAAAAAAATTTATGCCCAGAATCTGAGCAGAGCATTTACTGAGAGTCCTAGCGGCATGTTGAAGAGAAGGTGTCGAAGAGAAATTGCCGCACCACATCCCAGTGGCTGCCTAGCTGCAAAAGCATGCTCCCTTTTCAATATCCCCACTTAGAAGTGTATAACCGCGCGCGTAAAACAACCGCCATCTGTTCCATCATATGGTTTCTTATTTTCTTATTGTGTTGTGTATACGATACTCGGCTGCGGCGCAAAAAGGAGCTGGAGACAAGAAGAGGGTAAACGAGGTACTTTTACGACCCGAACTAGTCTAACGGTACCTTCCATAAAGACTGGGTAATTGGCACAGGACTGGTTTGAGAAGATAACGACACTGACGTGGACATTACATTGTCGCAGCAATTCAGAATACCCACGGATGTAGTGCGGCACATTCCGATCTGCAGCGAACGAAACAAAAAGGCGTTCCAAGCGGGCTTATTCGCACCAGGACCCAAACTTCTCAATGAAGTAATGCCGCAGTTTATGAAATCGTCTAGCTAAGAAGTATTCAGCTAGTTTGCAGCTATGCCGCCGTGGCTGTAACGGATTGCACCCTAGCATTAACTCACAAGGTTCTCATTCACTTTGCTGTGATTTTAATTAGGGGAGAATGTGGTGTCTGATCACAGGGAGCTTAACCGACGCTGACCACTTTGTCCTCCATCAACTTGTAAGTCCAATGTTGAATTTACAGCAGATAAGAACGATACAATCTGTTTCGCCGGACGAAGGGGCGTGTCAGGCGTGACGGGTTCGCCGCGGCGTCAAATCCGTTGTCCATCAGTTGTTGAAGCGAGCAAGCGACTGAATCGTACCATTCTATTCCTATCACACGCTTTCTACCAACCTCCGTCTGACATGCCCCTTGATCCGCAGCGAACAGTGCTGCAACTCAAGCGGCTGTACTGTCAAATTCAGAATCCGGACGAATTCTTGGATCGATTCCCTCCTAGAAAAACCACGTTTCGTTCCTGCAAAGCTAGAGGATGAGTACAGATCCGTGTGGGGTTATAAGGACATTGACATGTCCACTAGCTAATCCCCTCTGGTCATTCTTTAGACCAGTGCATTCACTAAGTTATTATGATTGTGAGGGGAAGTAGAAAAGGTGACGCACCCTAAGAAAGGGATCGATGCTGAATATTTTACCCATTGAAGGCGATAAGTAAACTCACATCGATGTCATAGGTGAGCTGCGGGAAGACGGGATATTTGTCTCGATCGAACATCACCACCACCCGTAACTGATGGATCCGAATAGGCGTTGTCTGACTCGGCCCGAATTGTCAGATGAGTCTCACCAGGAGAAAGATGGTTTGCCACCTGGAACTTGATGCTTCAAAGACGACCAATGAGCAGAAAAGGTAGATGGAACTTACTCGCAGTAGATCACCGTCCATGACAAATTGCGATTCGTTCTCAAGAATTCGGAAGTGAACGGGCAAAGCCGAGCTGGTAAATGCGGACGCCCTGCGACAAAGCATTAAAGAGGTAGAGACAGTGAATCAAGCTAATTGCCCACTGACCTCAGTACAACACTTCCGACTGCCTTTTCCGTAGAGATGTAGATGGTAGACGGCAGTGGAAGGAAGCGTAAAGAAGCGTCGCCAACGACCTCAATGTGCAGCACGGCAGAAGTCTATAAGTGCCCATTTATGGATTTCCTTCAAAAGAACTGCTCCTTGAACAAACCTTCCTCTTGAATACCGTACTCTGGTCCTCAGCAATCACTACCAAATCAAACGGTCCATCAAGTGGTGTAAGAGGTGTCAGCGCAGAAACCACTCCTGTCTGTAAAACGTCTCGTGGTCAATAATTACCTTTCACGGTAAAATGCACCTCACCTGTTCGTTAATCGAGAATTTACGGTCTTGCGTCAGCTGGTCCGCAGTGTAGTCCAATCGATAGGTGATTTGCCCTTCCAGGCCTGGATCTGGGTCCTTTGCATGAAGCTCAGCCACTACTGCTCCGGCGCGTATGGGTGCATTTAGTGTAATATCGTAGTGTTTCTGAAGAGCAAAGGTGGAGCATTTCTTCGACGGGGGGGGGGTCACTTCACACTTTTGCTACTTCCCTATCGACGTGTCGACCCATCTAGAGAGCCTTTTCGTGAGTTGACAGGTTTTACCATGGTGGCTCGACGAGCTTGCTCCAGCTTCACAAGAGTTCACAGGTTTCACCAGAGTGAGACTTGTAAACCGGAACTAGTGAAGCAGCGAAAGTGCAAAATGCTCTCCCCCCCCCGTCGCCGAACTGCGTAAAACAAGGTTATATTAAGGAGGAGCGAGTCGCAAAAGCTACTGTCCATGAGCTGAAAGGAAGCAAGATAGAGTACCTGGTCGAAAACTGGCGCGGACGGATTCGTGCCCTGAACGGCAATGGTCAGCTTTGCGACAGACGTCTGTTTCGGATCTCCATGGTCAAAAGCTTCAATGTTGAGGTCATAATGAGACTCGGTGAGCGCTGTAACCGTTTGCACCACGCCTGTATGGTAGTCGATACCGAACACTGCTGAAAAGGGAGGATTTGCCTAAGACGACGGCATAACTTAGAGCAGAGATCACAAACTGACCACTAGGTGGATTGATAGCGTAGTTGACATCGCCATTCATGCCTGAATCAGCGTCTGTAGCCTGGAGGGTGATGACATCGGAACCAGGTGGAAGATCGCTGGGCAGAGAAATGTGGAATTGGGAAGCCGAAAACCGAGGAGCATTGTCGTTCACATCGGTCACAATCACCACGACAGAAGTGTAGCCACAATTGCCCGGGTTCACGGAAAGGCATGCACGTATCTGTAACGATCGCTTGAAGATAAGAGTAAGTTCAGGGAGCCAGACGTCATCCTCACCTTGAATTCGTAGTTTTTGTTAGTCTCGTGATCGAGTACCGCTTCGCTTGATTCACGGAGATTTTATGAACCCGGAACGGAAGCGAAGAGGCACCGAAAGAACCAGGAAGAAGTTCGTATTGCAGTGAGACGTCGTTAGTTGACAAGGCAACATGGTAAGCCTGAAAAACGCGTTGCATGGGGGAGTAAGTTCAAAC